AATTTGAATCAACCTCCATTAGAACCATGGGTGGAAAGCTCGAGGAAGATTAAGAAGGGGATGAAAATAAACTTTAAATTCCCAAAATGGTTATGCAAATCTATTTTAAAAGTTTCGTATGAAGTGGGCTTATTATACACGTGGTGTTCACGTGTGTTGTGTAAAATAAGTCACATTAGTAAAAAAGAGAGGTTAAATGCTAAATTTGGTTCCTCAACTTTAAGAAATGCACATTTTTTATCTCTTAACAATTTTTTGCACTTTTTTGATCCCTCAACTATACGAAATACACTCCATTAGTGCTTTTGTCAATTTGGGCCGTTAAGTCCGCCATGTGGCATGCTTTATAATTTTTTTGATGACATGGAGAGCAAAATTTTAAAAAGTGCTGATATGGACCAAATGTGTTGCCATGTAATGTTCCTGCAAGCCAAAGGCGCCAATCCACTAAAATGGGCCCCACGTTGCCTGCCGAAGCTCCAATAAACACACGATAAACCCTAGGATTGCAGAGATGTCTTTTGGCTTGCTCTTTCGAAAGAAAAAAAAATCCAATAACTTCTACAGAACAGAGAACACTGCACTTTCGATTCTCCTCTTTGGGATTGCAGAGATTTTCTCAGAGTTTATCATATCTTCCTTGTTCGATTCTCCTTCAAAGTTCGAACTCAAACCCTAGATTTGCTGGGATTCCAAGGATTTGCCAAGGGAATCGAAGTTGCGATTGTTGAAAAGTCACTCGAAAGCAGGATCGATGGACCCCAATGACCCCAAAATTGTTGATGTCGACCTGGAACGAAGCGAAGAGATTCTGGAAGATGAGGTATCGATATGGGTTTTCTTCTCCTTTTTTCTATTGTTGTCTAACTGATTCAGAGGGTACTTTTTTATACTGACATAGACCCTATCTGATAAAAGTGATGCAAAAATTTTGATGCATGTTGAACTGCATGACTATTCGAGGAGAAAAGGACATTAGGTCCCCACTTAAACAGGAAGTTTGTGTCGTTTATTGCTTTCCCATTTACTTTTGGGTTGAATAATAATTTCTTTATTGAGTAAAATTGTCTTAACAATTTAAAATTTTTGCTTTCAATGCTGTTGGTTTTCTGGTGTCTGCTGTGTTGACTCGCATCCAGACCAGATCTGTATTGAGTAGTTTATTTTGTTTGTTTGCTTTATTTATTAGGGTGAGCATGATTTAGGAAATGAGGCAGAAACCAAATTTGTACCAATTTTCATTCATTTGGGTGGAAGGTTTATACAAGGAGCTGGTAATTCAATTTTATATGTTGATGGTGAATGTGATGACTGGATTATTAATAGGGATAAGTTGACACTGTTTGAACTTTATACTAAGATTGGTATTACTGGATATGATGTTGATATGGTCGACCAAATATGGTATTTAGAACCAAGAAAAACAATTACAGATGGTTTGAAACCTATTAGGAATGATCATGACATTAGGGATGTTTTGGGGGTGTTGAAGGTGGAGAAAAAGGTACATATTTATGTGTCTCATGTCCCGAATTTTGCTGAAATTATGCCTATCTTACCATTACCAGCCCCTAGTGATAAGGGTACAGTTGCCGACAATCCTGTTAAGGTTGAGGGGAGAGTAGAAAATGATCATGTTGATGTGGAAGGCAGAGTTGAAGATGCTGGTCATGCGGTTGATGTGGAAGGCAGAGTTGAGGATGCTGGTCGTGTGGTTGAGGTTGAAGGCAGAGTTGAGGATGCTGGTCATGCGGTTGAGGTTGAAGGCAGAGTTGAGGATGATGGTAATGAAGACAATGAACATTCTGAGGATGAAGATGATTTTCTTCCATATATATCTGAATTGAGTGATAATGAAGATAAGGAAACTGTCGAGGCGAGAAATAAAATGAAGTCTTTGCATGAGGCAACTTCGAGATCAAAAAATGCTAGGAAAGGTGTTAAGTATGGTCGTAGTCAACCATCAACAAGTATTTCATCAACTTTTACCTTTTTTAGTTCGTTAATGAGTTAATGGAATACATAGTAACATATATGCTTTGCCTGCATGAGCAAGTCATGAAATTCCCTCATCTTCAACTGGTCACAATGATCTTGGTCCTGAGGATTCATTAAGCTCAGATGATGATATCAGCTACATTTCAACAAGTGAAGAAGATGGAAGTGAAGTTGAACACGGTAGGAGAAGGAAGGGTAGGCACAAAGTTTTCCGAGGAACAGATGATGGCAATGTACAGATTGAGTTAGGCATGGTTTTTCTAAACAAAGCTGAGTTTAAAAAAGCTGTGGATAAATTGAGCATTATGCAAAGGAGGCCAATCAAGTGGGTCAAGAATGATAAGAAGAGACACATGGCTATTTGTAATGAAAGGCACTATGACTGGAAGATTTTGTTAGCGTGGGATAAGCCAATTGAGACATGGATGGTCAAGACATTTACAAGTGAACACACATGTGAATGGGGATCGACCAATCGGAGATGTAATTCAACATTTGCAATGAACCATTTATTCAAGACTAAGCGTTTTAGTGTTGTTTATTTGAAAAGTGGTGATAGTTTTATTGAAATATGGGATGAGTTGAACATGGAGTTGACTCAAGTCCAGTGTAGGATTATTAAAAGGAGGTTGAGAAAAACTTTTGAAGGGGATCATTCATTGGAATACAACAAGCTTTTTGACTATGCTGCAGAACTGAGAAAAAGAGATCCAAGAGCCACTGTTTCGATTTATGCACCGAGGCCACTACCTGAACTGAACCCTATTTTCTTGAGGATGTATGTGTGTTTAGTGCAATGAAAAAGGGATTTATTGCTAGATGTAGGAGAGTCATTGGTTTAGATGGAGCTTTTCTCAAAGGACCACACAAAGGGGAATTACTTACTGCTGTC